GGGATCCTCGGTTTACTGGCTCATTCTGGAGGGAATTATTCAGCTTATTGGGGTTGGAGTTGCACGTCTCGACCATCTTTCACCCTCAAACAGACGGGCAAACTGAGAGGATCAACGCACTGTTGGAGTGCTACTTGCGGCACTATGTTAGTGCCAATCAGAAGGATTGGGCAAGGCTGATGGATACTGCCCAATTCTCGTACAATTTGCAGCGAAGTGAGGCGACGAGAAGGAGCCCGTTTCAGTTAGCAACGGGGCAGCAGCCTAATATGCCCCAATCCTTGCCCGTCGACGCCGGTTTCAAAAGTTCGGGTGCTTATCAGATGGCGAAAGCCTGGGAAGAACAAGTCAACCTTGCACGGTCGTACCTTGACAAGGCTGCCCGGAAGATGAAAAAATTTGTTGATCGTAAGCGACGTCCAGTGGAGTACAGAATTGGGGATCGAGTTATGGTGAAACTCAATCCCACGCAATTCAAGTCGCTGCGAAGCGTGAATTAGAACTTGATTCGCAAATACGAGGGGCCATTCGAGAGTATTGCCAAGGCTGGCAAAATTTCTTATCAGGTTGACATGCCTCATCACTTGAAGATTCACCCTGTCTTCCACGCAAGCCAATTGAAACCTTATTTCGAAGACAAGGAAGACAAGGAGCGGGGGCTGTCCGAGAGGGCCAAAATCTTCATCACGCCGCCTACTGTGGACAAACAAATTGAGGCTATCATCGATCACCAGCTTGTTCGTGGAAAAGGCTGGAACAATTCTAGTTCACAGTTCCTAGTTCACTGGAAGGGAACGGCACCAGAGGAGGAGACTTGGGAAAAGTACGAGGACTTGTGGCAGTTTCGCGACAAAGCCCATCAGTACTTGCAGTTGTGTGGCGTCGGGGTCGTCGCCAATTCAGGCGGGGGATCATGTACTAGCCACGCAAGGCGGCACATTAAAATCCAACTTCTCCAACAAAGCAGCAGCACCACCTCAAAGGTTGGAGGGTCAAAAGCCTTGCCAAACTCCCTCCCAACTTTGAACTACTCCCAATCGTCAATCTGGCAAACCCCCCTCTCCATATCTGCCTTCTTCCGTCGCCACCACAGCATGGTGTATCCGTCAAGTACATAGATGCCGTTCTGATCTTGGCAGCTTCGTTGTGCATGTCAACGTGTTCAAAATAGGCATCCATCTGCCATATGAAGTTCTCCACATCTTGAGCACTCCTTTCCCCACGAAATTCTTTGGGTTTAGGAGCCTCAATACGGGTTTCACGAACTGTAACGGGAGGAGCAACCCCCGTCTCGGCAGCCTAATCAACCTGCCGTCTTAACGCCTCCACCTCTCTTTGAAGGGAAGAGATGGCCTCGTTGAGCTTGAGTTCAAGGGTGGACAGACCCTCCTTTTGAACATCCTAAAGCTCAACAAGGTTATTTTTCACCCCGTCCAACCCTTCAATGGCTACGGACTCGAGGGAACTGAAGTTGTTTTCAACCATAACAATCCTTCTATTCAAGGCCGACAAACCCACCTCAACTCTGACGATTCTCTCATCGAGTTGGTTGTTGTCTGCACCTTCTTCTTCTTCACCAGCAGCTCTACCAACAAGAGAAGGGTTGCAAGAAGGTTCTCTTACCTTGCTCTTGTCACGTTTCTTGGAAGGTTCCTTCCGAACTTCAGGCTCCTTGTCTTGGACAGCCTCTTCATTACGTTATGACTTCGATGTCATGCTTCAACTGCTGCTCTGATACCACTTGTCACGGGGTCAATTTTCGCACCTCGTGGGACAGTAGAGAAGGCTTGCACGGCTCTTCTAAACTCAGTCCAACCAAACACAAACGGAACGCTAAGCAGGACAGTCCACAATGCAGCCACAAACAATTAAAGAAAGCAAGAAAGAAGCCAAGTCTTTGGGAGGCCAACAAGCTAATTTTCCAATAATTTTCCAAGTGCTTGTACAAGAGAGAAATATTCAAAGTAAGAGAGACACAAAGTATGCTAAGTATGCTATGTGATAATATGTCTAAGACAATGTAAAAAGCTTCTAAGTAAGCTGAAAAAACGTGTGGCACCAACTCTTAAAAGAAAAGGCTCCATGTGGCAGATTTTCCAAGGCTGAAAAATAGGCAGCTTTGTCTTCCCTGCTTTACTGCCACATGGCAGACTGGTTGCACCGATTTTTTTCTTCATGCTCTTGGCTGACCTGGTGAGCGTGGCAATTTCCTCCATTCTTGCAAGGAACCTCCATCAGTTGCGAGGGAGTTTGGCAAGGCTTTTGACCCTCCAATCTTTGAGGTGGTGCTGCTGCTTTGTTGGAGACGTCGGATTTTAATGTGCCGCCTTGCGGGGCGGTACATGCTCCCCTGCCTGAATTAGTGACGACCTTGATGCCATACAACTGCAAGTACTGATGGGCTTTGTCGCGAAACTGCCACAAGTCCTTGTACTTTTCCCAAGTCGCCTCCTCCGGTGCCGTTCCCTTCCAGTGAACTAGGAACTGTGAACTAGAATTGTTCCAGCCTTTTCCACGAACAAGCTGGTGATCGATGATAACCTCAATTTGTTTGTCCGCGGGCAAGGATTGGGGCGTATTAGGCTGCTGCCCGATTGCTAACTCAAACAGAATCCTTCCCGTCGCCTCACTTTGCTCCAAATTGTACGTGAGTTGGGCAATATCCAGCAGCCTTGCCCAATCCTTCTAATTGGCACTAACATAGTGCCGCAAGTAGCACTCCAACAGTGTGTTGATCCTCTCAGTTTGCCCGTCTGTCTGAGGGTGAAAGCTAGTCGAGAAGTGCAACTCCTTGAGCTGCTTCCTTAACTCCTCCAAATCCAGGGGCGCCATACGATAAGGCGTCATGGCAGACTGCTTTGCCCCTAGAACCAGCTCAATTTGGTGATCAACTTCCCTTCGGGGTGGCAGCCGTTGGGGAAGTTTAGTTGGCATAACGTCCCTATTGTTACTAAGGACTTGTTCGATGCAAGGCAGCAATGGAACGGCCTCTGTGCAGCTTTCGGCGTCTTCAATCAGGGTAGCAAGAAAGGTTGGTTCGCCTTTGTTGAAGACCTTGATAATCTGCATTGCCGACAAATGCATCCCATTTTGTGGTACCCGAATAAGGGGTATCATGCAAGAACCACCGGGTGCCTATCAAATGGCCAAAGCCTGGGAAGAACAAGTCGACCTTGCACGATCGTACCTTGACAAGGCTGCCCGGAAGATGAAGAAATTTGCTGATCGGAAGCGACCTCCGGTGGATTACAGAATTGGGGATCGAGTTATGGTCAAACTCAATCAAAGGCAATTCAAGTCGCTGCGAAGCGTGAATCAAAACTTGATTCGCAAATACGAGGGGCCATTCGAGATTATTGCTAAAGCAGGCAAAATTTCTTATCGGGTTGACATGCCTCATCACTTGAAGATTCACCCTGTCTTCCATGCTAGTCAACTGAAGCCTTATTTTGAAGACAAAGACCGGGGGCAGTCCGAGAGGGCCAGAATCTTTATCACGCCGCCTACCATGGTCAAACAAATTGAGGCTATCATCGATCACCAGCTTGTTCGTGGAAAAGGCTGGAACAATTCTAGTTCACAGTTCCTAGTTCACTGGAAGGGAACGGCACCGGAGGAGACAACTTGGGAGAAATACGAGGACTTGTGGCAGTTTTGCGACAAAGTCCATCAGTACTTGCAATTGTGTGGCGTCGGGGTCGTCGCCAATTCAGGTGGGGGAGCGTGTACCGCCCCGCAAGGCGGCACATTAAAATCCAACGTCTCCAACAAAGCAGCAGCACTACCTCAAAGATTGGAGGGTCAAAAGCCTTGCCAAACTCTCTCCCAACTGATGGAGGTTCCTTGCAAGAATAGAGGAAATTGCCACGCTCACCAGGCCAGCCAAGAGCATGAAGACAAAAATCTGTGCAACCAGTCTGCCATGTGGCAGTAAAGCAGGGAAAACAAAGCTGCCTATTTTTCAGCCTTGGAAAATCTGCCACATATAGCCTTTTCTTTGAAGAGTTGGTGCCACACGTTTTTCAGCTTACTTAGAAGCTTTTTACATTGTTTTAGACATATTATCACATAGCATACTTATCATACTTTGTGTCTCTCTTACTTTGAATATTTCTCTCTTGTACAAGCACTTGGAAGATTATTGGAAAATTGGCTTGTTGGCCTCCCAAAGACTTGGCTTCTTTCTTGCTTTCTTTAATTGTTTGTGGCTGCATTGTGGACTGTCCTGCTTAGCGTTCTGTTTGTGTTTGGTTGGACTGAGTTTAGAAGAGCCGTGCAAGCCTTCTCTACTGTCCCACGAGGTGCGAAAATTGACCCCGTGACAAGTGGTATCAGAGCAGCAGTTAAAGCATGACATCGAAGTCACAACGTAATGAAGAGGCTGTTCAAGACAAGGAGCCTGAAGTTCGGAAGGAACCTTCCAAGAAACATGACAAGAGCAAGGTAAGAGAACCTTCTTGCAACCCTTCTCTTGTTGGTAGAGCTGCTGGTGAAGAAGAAGAAGGTGCAGACAACAACCAACTCAATGAGAGAATCGTCGAAGTTGAGGTGGGGTTGTCGGCCTTGAATAGATGGATTGTTATGGTTGAAAACAACTTCAGTTCCCTCGAGTCCGTAGCCATTGAAGGCTGGACGAGGTGAAAAATAACCTTGTTGAACTTGAGGATGTTCAAAAGGAGGGTCTGTCCACCCTTGAACTCAAGCTCAACGAGGCCATCTCTTCCCTTCAAAGAGAGGTGGAGGCGTTAAGACGACAGGTTGATGAGGCTGCCGAGACGGGGGTTTCTTCTCCCGTTACAGTCCGTGAAACCCGTATTGAGGCTCCTAAACCCAAAGAATTTCGTGGGGAAAGGAGTGCTCAAGACGTGGAGAACTTCATATGGCAGATGGATGCCTATTTTGAACACGTTGACATGCACAGCGAAGCTTCTAAGATCAGAACGGCAGCTATGTACTTGACGGATACAGCCATGCTGTGGTGGTGACGGAAGAAGGCAGACATGGAGAGGGCGGTTTGCCAGATTGACGATTGGGAGCAGTTCAAAATTGAGCTCAAACGGCAATTCTACCCTCAAAACGTTGTCCACGAAGCCCGTCGGAGGTTGAGAGAGTTGAAGCAGACCTCGTCCATTCGAGACTATGTTAAGGAATTTACGAAGTTAACACTTCAAATTCCAAGCCTGACGAGTGAGGACTTACTGTTTTACTTTCTAGATGGCCTTCAAAATTGAGCTAAGCAAGAGCTGTAAAGACGTCAAGTGCATGACGTAGATGAGGCAATTGTAGTGGCGGAATCGCTCAACAATTTCCGTGGTGATGCGGCAAAGGGGATGGATAACAGGAGCAAAACTATTCCTCCCAAGGTCGACAACAGCAACAGGAGCAGGAGCAGACCAAATCCCAACCGAGGCAGCGACACGAGGGGCAACTCTCGTGACCAACCTTCCAATTTTCGGAAAAATTATGAGGACCGCAAGAGGGGTGCTCCTCATCGGGAAGGTTGTTACATCTGTGGGGAGACAACCCGTGCTGCTCGGTACTGTCCGTCATTGAGAAAGCTGAGCGCTATGGTGGTTGCCGAAAAGCAGCAAGAAAAGGCTGCAACGCAAGCCGAAAGTTCTGCCGGTGAGCAACGTGGGCAAAGTAGCGGGTCAGACAAAGGCAAGAACGTTGCCGTTGGCATGTTCAATCACATGGCGCTGATCAACCACATTTCCATTACTGCTTTGGCTGCCAAACCAGCTAGCGTCAGGCCGCGAGAATCTCTGTTCGTCAATGCCAAGCTAAACAACAAAGACGTGCGGATCATGGTGGATACTAGGGCAACTCACAATTTTGTGACTGAGCAGAAGGTCAAGGAGCTTGGCCTAAGTTATGTTGCCAGCAACACAAAGTTGAAGACAGTCAACGCCACTCCTACTACCGTCCATGGCTTTGCGCCTAAAGTTCCAATTGAGTTAGGAGATTGGATGGGGCAGACTGACTTCACAATCGCCCCTATGGATGTGTTTGATGTTATTTTGGGGCTTGACTTTTGGTATGAAGTCAATGCGTTCATCTCGCCGCGTCACAACCAGCTGCACATCAGTGACACCGGTGGTTCTTGCGTGGTACCCCTTATTCGGGTACCACAAAATGGGATGCATTTGTCGGCAATGCAGATTATCAAGGGCTTCAAGAGAGGCGAGCCAACCTTTCTTGCTACCCTGATTGAAGACGCCGAAAGCTGCACAGAGGCCGTTCCATTGCCGCCTTGCATCGAACAAGACTTTAGTAACAATAGGGACGTTATGCCAACAGAACTTCCCCAACGGCTGCCACCCCGAAGGGAAGTTGATCACCAAATTGAGCTGGTTCCAGGGGCAAAGCCGCCTGCCATGACGCCTTATCATATGGCGCCCCCGGAACTGGAGGAGTTAAGGAAGCAGCTCAAGGAGTTGCACTTCTCGATCAGCTTTCACCCTCAGACAGACGGGCAAACTGAGAGGATCAACACACTGTTAGAGTGCTACTTACGACACTATGTTAGTGCCAATCAGAAGGATTGGGCAAGGCTGCTGGATACTGCCCAATTCTCGTACAATTGCAGCAAAGTGAGGCGACGGGAAGGAATCCGTTTGAGTTAGCAACGGGGCAGCAACCTAATACGCCCCAATCCTTGCCCGTCGATGCCGGTTTCAAAAGTCCGGGTGCCTATCAAATGGCAGTAAAGCAGGGAAGACAAAGCTACCTATTTTTCAGCCTTGGAAAATCTGCCACATGGAGCCTTTTCTTTGAAGAGTTGGTGCCACACGTTTTTTCAGCTTGCTTAGAAGCCTTGCACATTGTCTTAGACAGATTATCACATAGCATACTTAGCATACTTTGTGTCTCTCTTACTTTGAATATTTCTCTCTTGTACAAGCACTTGGAAGATTATTGGAAAATTGGCTTGTTGGCCTCCCAAAGACTTGGCTTCTTTCTTACTTTCTTTAATTGTTTGTGGCTGCATTGTGGACTGTCCGATCAGATTATATTATAAGTGGGAAGCTTCAAGATGTAAAGTTGAATTACCATTTTATCCCTATACTAAATAAAAATGTTATATTCATATTCGATTATTTTATTTTTGAAAAATATTGAGCAGTAAACTTTTTTTATTATTAATGAATTGAGAATTATTTGAACAGTTATGAAAATTAAATAATCTATACCATTAAAGAAAATGAAGAAACAAATGTTAGTTAATGAGAGCAAAAAGGTAGAGATTTAAGTTGCACATTAACTAAAATATAGAAGCAGTTACCTTTACATTGTTAGAATCGTAAAAGTTGCAGATTTCAATACAATGAATCTCATAGTTAATATATTAATATATGTTATTTTCAATGATAAATACATGAAAAGAAGCTAAAGAGACTAATTAATCATTTAAAGTGAAAGTATTATATAAAGCCAAGAACAGTTTTAATTTTCCTCAAGTCCCCTCTCCATTTTTATGGGCTCTAAAGAAGAGTATATTATTTCTCTGAGCAGTTTATTCTCAATCAGCTATGGATGTTGTTGGATTCATTAAAGATATTTCTTAGTGAAGAATACGCTCATGACACTTATTATTTAATTTCCTTGCTAGGGCTTAATATGTGCACAAAGCACAACATTAATTTTATTGTAAAAGATTTCTATATGTTATTGGTTTTACACATATTTCATTAACGTAGCACATAACATTTCACTTATTCATTTAAATATTGTAGTTGTATAGTTTTTTGGATTTTGGATCTTAGAAACAAAAACACCATATAGGATGCTTATCAATTTTAAGAACATGTAATTTGCATTTTCTATTTTATAACACATAATATAACTTTAAAATATTGTTAATATACAATCTTCACAAAAAAAATATATTTATATGGCCACACGCGGTGGCGCGTACCCAGAAACTAGTATTATTATAAGTGGAAAGAACTTAATCCCAAAGTTAATTTATTGTTTTGACCCTATAGTATTAGTTACTTATTAATTTATTAGTTAAGTATTAATTTTATTAGTTAAATATTAATTTATTAAAAAAATAAATTTGGCATAATTAAATTCTGCAGAAACGTAAAGGTTCTCCTCTACCTCCCTCGATCAGTGTAACAGTTGTATTAAATATTAAATTTTGCAGAATGATTTTAGGAGATGTGGAAGCAAGTGTAATAGCAACAGTTTGCTAGATTGATATTCCAACATGTTGTTGCATCTTCTTATGGGATTGTAGAAATATTTGTATTCATTCTCATGTATTGCCTTGCTCTTGTATTCAATACACCAACTTGTTAATCAAATATCTTAAATTTATGGGTCAAAATCTGCTAAGGAATGCCCTCCTTCTTATTTGGCAGTTTTGCTCCTGACTCGAAAGTAGATATATTAATATGTATTTTGCTGGCTACAATATCAATCATTGATTTTGCAATTTTATTTTTTAGTTTTATTCACCATTCAAAAAAAAGTATCTTGGGCAATCATACAACGTTTTGATCTTTCATTCAAACAGATACTAATTACTTCATAAAATGGAAACTCAATCAACCCCAAAAAAACAATTTATACACACACATTAATGGAATGACCCAATTGAGGAAATAACAAGTACCTGGATCTTCCATAACTCTTCTTTACTCATATCTCCAATCTAATGAACAAAAAGGGTAATCTTGAAATGAGACAAGATGAGATTTTATAGCTAACAAATCTGGAAATAAACCAAAGACAACTAAAAATCAACACAAGTGAATTTACACGCCTTTCTTCATTCTTTTTTGTTTTTCCTCATATGGGTTCTACCAAAAAAAAAATACAAAGCGCGAAAATGTGAATGAAAAAAAAGATCTTGATTAGAAAGAAAAGAAAACTGAAGTGATTTAGAGAATTTAATTCATTTTTTCAGTACATTTACAATCTCTTCGTGTTGTAATACTTTTAATAGGTTTCTTCCTTTCAACACCAACAAAATTGGTAACGTTTCTCCAACTTGAATATCTTTGCTTCAATTAACACGATATTTATACTATTGTTAGTTGAAGTTGCTTGCTTTTAAAAGTAAAAAAAAGAAGAATTAGCATATGTCTGGTGAATATTATTTTCTTCAGCATCTTTATTGTTCGACCAAAAAAACACTAACTAGATACAAAAAATTAACATTTACGACAAATATATATTGTATTAATATCCTAACTACTACAACCTTACAATGACAACTGTGAAAGAGCTCGAGAATCAATGCCTACCTATTAGCCAGTTGATGATATTAATTAGCAACTGATATTCGTCGACAAAGAGGTAACTCTATTTTAATATTTTATTATATTCATTACATAATATATGTAGCCCTTATTTTATCTTACAAGATACAATTGTCACATTAATTTGATGTCTACTCATTGGTAAAAGCAATATCATATCTATACAAGTATATATATATAAAACTCATGAATGTATCTCGAGAAAGAATGTTACAACTTAGCATGGCTTGCACGTGTACATGTCAAGTATCTAAAATGCACAGCAGCAGCTATTTGGTGTTTGGTCTTCTCACCTAATTTGCACAGCGAAAAAAAATGGAGCAATATACAAGCAAAGTAAAAATGCTCTCCCCTATTCAAATTCCTATAGAAGTAACACTTGTCTTTGTTACCAACAGGATCTTCTGGCTTTACAGTGGACTTCAAATAGTGGCCAAAATTCATCTATCAGTACCAAGAAAAACAAAAATGCCCACTTTTGAACTTACCTGTTCAACAAAAGAAACAGGAACCACCACGAGGTTATTTTTTTTTTAATTAGAAACAGTCGCAGGAAAATTAAGATATGTTTATACAGCAATATCTTTCTTAGTTCCACGGGTACCCTCTCTTAGAGTTGTACAAGTTAAACAAAGATGGACAGTCTAACATAGGTCCCCGAAAGGATCTCAGAGACTCAACAAAGTACAAAAGAAAGGTACTTTCAGAAAACGGATTCATATTCAAAGAGTGCATAACCACATGCTGAATACCCCTATCTGTAAAAAGACCTCAAGTTTCCATTAACTAAAATATGTTGATGATTGATTAATTGACTGGCAGCAGGAACAGTTGAAGCCATACCCGATCGAAAAAGGATGTTATTTATCCGTAACATATTTCAAGTAATTGTAGTAAAACTTGACAGGTTGACCTCGCAGATACTACTGCTCCTTTCAGCAGTAACGAGGGATCAATTGTGATCGCTTCAAATTGGACATAATCTTTGGGTTTTGTCATGTTATTCGATAGTATATGCATACAAAAGATACTTGATTATCAAAAGAAAGAAGAATACTACAACAACTACTAATTGCTATGCCTTTGTCTAAATCAATTGATGTGATTGGAAGGGAAGAAAAGATGTACTTTATTCTTTCCATCCAAATTCAAAGGGACTGAAAAAAGCTAACCTGGAGCAATTGAGCTTTAATCTTCCCTCTTTTTTCCCCCCTCCTCATATCCTCCTTTCACCAAACATAGCATAGAACTCACCAGCACCTACTTTTGATTTAATTTGAAAGAAAAGAGAGTTTAATGAGCTACCATATATGAGCTAAAGATATCTGTAAGCACGAATGCAGTGATGCTACAGAAAAGTGATATATTCCTATAATGACTCACTTCAAGAGTTCAATGGTAAAACTGATGGTCTTTTTTTTTTTTTGAGCAAGTAACATTTGTATCATAACTCAGCAAGTCAAAGTATGACAATATAACAAAGAACCTAATCCTAGCATGACTCTTTACACTTCTAGGATATTTTCTGCATCTATAGGATGTTTTTATTTTCTGTACTTTTCTACTCCTGTCTTCGAAACACCTAGCATTTATTTCCTTCCAGATGGTCCACCATAAACAAGCTGGTATGGTTCGCCAGTAGCTCCTGTTTTTAAGCTCCTTCCCAGCTTCTTCCCAACTAGATATAGTGTTAACAATCTTGCTAGGCATTGTCCATTGTATGCCTCTATGATTAATGAAGATCTTCCATAGTTGGTCAGTTATTCAGCAATGCAAAAACAATTGGCCCAGTGTCTAAGCTGCCACACCACAAGTCAGCTTCTTTTGCTAACAACCATGAGAAACATGCCACCTTCAAAGGTTCTTTCGTTCTCTAGATCTGTTTCCATGGCCATATGAAGTTCTGGTGCCACTGTCAAGTTCAAAAGTTTGTACCCTGAACTTACTCCCCCTTGTTGTGCCCATTCCACCATAGTCTATCCATCCAATTCTTTAGACTTTGAAAAGCTTCAAGAATTTCGAAGACAATTAGTCTAGGCATTTCCCAATCATTCAAGTTTCTACTGAAATTTAACTCCCAGCCTTGGAATGCCCACATGTCAGCTACTGTTATGCGTTGGTGGATAACTTAATCAAACAGATCAGGGAACTTCTCTGCAAGATTCCAATTACCTAACCACCTATTTTTCCAGAAGATGGTTTTATACCATCACATACACTAACGGTAGAGTAATTACGTAAATCAAGCCACCAGTTTCTAATAGATCTCTAAACAGTGACATCATAAGGATAGTTTGCTTCTTCAGTCATCCACCCATCCAATTCTCCATACTTTGTTCTGATCCCCTGTTTCT